GCTCCTTACAAGATGCCATCCCAATTACCCACCAAATGTATCACCCCTTTGGACCCAAACACCTTGTCATATCTGCTTCGGGGAAACAATGAAACTAGCGTTAGCAGGCTTTTTAAATTCAAACCACCATCTGCTGCAGCACCCACATGTATGATGCGGCAGAGACTCGGGACAGAGCAGGACATTCTGTAGACTTCTTCCCCTCTTATCTCTTCATCTTAGTAATGGAGTCCTTGCTCGACTCAATATAAGCACACAAGAATTATATTAAAAACTCATTTCTGAGCTTTGAGTCTTCTGTTTTTTTAAATCCTCATGCATAGTAAAGAGGTGTAAATGATAAAAGTGCTTTCAGGGAAGGAGAATGGAACTTTTATTTAGGAAATGCAAAAGCCTAACCATCAGTTTGTTTCCTGCTGTGCTTTTATTTTGTGGAATAAATCCATCCTTTTCTCATTTTGTTTTTACCTTCACATACCATTTATTTATTAGAATTCACTATACCTGAAAGGGAGTCTCTGTCATTATTATAAATTAGGGCTGTCATTGTTAACGCGTTAACGCATGTGATTAATTTGTACAATCCTTAATGCGTTAAAATAATTTAACGCAATTAACACAAAATTACTGAAGCACAATTTCTATTCTAACCCTTTAACCCAATTTTGCTACTCTGTTTGCGATTAGATCATTTTAAGCTGATAATCTCCGAGAAAGTTTTCAGTCCAATGATCCAGTAAGTGAATGCATTCAAACAATACGTCCAAAACAGCGCTAATATAAAGGAAACCAGGCTGATTACATCAGAGATTCAGAGATTTCAGTGAATTATTAATTCCACGATGAAGACTTCAATCAAGGACGATTGCAGTGGCAAACAGGAGTCGTACAGTACAGTAAGCACGCGTGAGTCCGTTATAATAATGCGTGTATGAGTGCTCTGATGCAATGATCACACATTGTATTTATGCACAGGCACAGACATTTCCATACATTCACGTTGTTTCCACACACATTCACGATAATGTTTTGATTTGTCATGTTTATGTTGCTGTGTTTAGTTATACAGAATGGATCCGTGTACTGTAGGCTAGTAGATATATGCAGTCAGCAGGCAGTTGGTTTAGGTTTTTTTTGGCATCGCCATGTGGTCCTGTTCGGTATCGCAACTTGGCTTCTCTAAAATGTAAAAAAGCTCTTTGGTGTTGCACTGTACACATACTATAATTATTCTTTTCTTTCATATGTGCTTATATGGGCTCCTTATATCATTTGGTTCTTTGGTGTCCTTTTGGCGTTTCTAAGTGTCCTTTTTTGGAAAGACATCTAAATTTATCTTGAAAAAAGCTTGCAGAAAATACTGATTTTTGAGAATCACGCTTCAATCTTTTGGTTTACTTTGCTGGATATAGCAAATGATGACAAAATAAACATTTGAAACAAGATAAATGGTCTATGCTTCATTTCATGAAGTGTGTGATTAATCGCGATTAATCACAGAAAAAGGATGTGATTAATCAGATAAAATATTTTAATAGATTGACAGCCCTATTATAAGCATTACTAACAAGCAAAATATTAGTAACGCACTTTTAAAGGTGCCGTCAGCTATTTTTTTCCTCATTAAAAAGTTGAGAGTAGTGATGAGTAGGTAAAAAAAGTAGTACAATGTACATAAGATGACGACTCTAGACACATTAGAAGCTTAATAAAAGCTGTTTTATTTTACAAGGTACTGGTTACATCATGGTGGCTGCCATGTTGAGGTCATATGACCATCTGAATACTAATTTGATATCAGAAACCATCCTGTTATTGGACTCTTTCACTTGTTAAATAAATTAAGCATGTCTGAAAGCTAATAACGTTTTCTGTTGCATGATGCTTCATCCACACCAGTAGGTGTCAGTATAAGTGTAACACAACTTTCACATAAAAAAAAACTTAAATTGAAAAGTAATGAGTACATCTTTAACAAGAATATATAAACATATAGCACAAGTATGTCACTTACTTTGCACTCAGCGATACTTATGAAACTGTTTTCTTCACTTTGTCATTTGAAACAACAAGAGGTTTTTTTTTTTTTGACCCAACTGTTATGGCAGTCTGAAAAACATATCTTCACACTCAACTCAGGAGAAACCGCACAGTTGGTTTTCTCTTAGATGTTCTTGTGCGCTCTGTTACCTCTTTTGCATGCTGACTATGTGCCACTTGCTAGTTATTATTTGTATGTTCTTTCTCAAGAAAATGTATTCAATTGTTTATTCAGAAGCCGCTCAGAGAAAAGGACCGGCAGTGATACAACCCACACTCCTACAGGTAGTTGACCTCTCCTGAGCACACCAAGGTAGAAATGTACGCCTCTATACATGACAGCGCACCCTCTCTGTGCTTTCCGAAGGTCACACTTGAACAAAAAATCTTGCTGCTTTTGCTTCTTAATGAGGCATAACTTGAACAGCCTCATATTCCAAGTTACCTTGTACTGCAAAGTTCCCTCCAGCGCAGATTCGGCTCAACATTTTCCACCTCCTAAATTATTCCTTTTTTGATGTTTTCATAAGAGAGTTAGCGATTTGTGAAATAACCCTTTTGAGATTTGCCCACTGTGTTACACATGCGTCTGATTTACATTGTCCTGGAACACTAGTCTCAAATTTGAAGTCATAGTCTTCTGTGAGAGCTTTTCAATTCAGCTATATGAGAAGCATTGCTTGATGCTTTAAGGATCGATACACCAATTATTTAATGTGTAACGCACCAGAATAAGAAGACAAGATAGTCTGTAGTGCCCTGTAGACTTTAGAAACAGTGGAATGTTTGTCATGTGCAGAGAATTGTCTCAATCGGAATAATTCAGCCTTGCCCTTTGGCTTACCTTAGCATCAAAGAGAGTGTAATGTTGCCGTAATGTTGTTGCTATTGCAAGTGTGAATATTGCGCATGCTGGGCTTTCATCCAAACATTTGTGTGAATGTTTGAGAAGAAAAAAATTGTAATAAGTGCCACAGCCATAGAATTGCTCATGTTTTCATGTGCTTGGAAACCATATTTTTACAGCCTTGCCTACTTGCTTATCCTGTTTTTGATATAATTATTGTTCATTTTCATATAATGTGTTAATTATGTAAATGTTCAATACTTGGAGATATCTGCACTGTTACTCCCTTGTGTAGAAATAGTGAAAGGCGTCATGGTCTGTATCAGAGTGGAAACAGTGTTTTCCAAACCATTGAAGGACAAAGCATTATTTGCCAACGAGATTTGCATTTCCAGAAAATAAAAAATAAAAAACAGCAGTGTTTTCGAGACAGCAAAAGAAGCATGTTAAAGTTTAGGTAAGCAGTTTTAGGCTGTGGTTTTGCATAAATTATATTCTGCATCGGGGAAGTGTTGCAGCTGTCGCATGCTTTGTTTTCTGTCTGTGGCACCTGAGTATCAGCTCAACACCATTTTTGCAGTGTGTAGAGATGAAGATGTAAGAAACAAAAGAGCAATCACAATTCAGTATACAAATGAATGCGAGAAGGAAGACCAGTGGCAATTGATAATACAAGTGTAGTGATGAAGTCATTGCTATTGTTTACATTTTGAACTGTGCACAATTTGAATTCAAGTTAGTAAAAATTGTTTCTAAAATTTCCCAAAGTAACCAATAAAGTTTAAAGTCGACATGAAACGGAAGTTGCGATTGTCTTTGCAGATCTGAATGCCAGTTTGCAGTTAGTGGTGGGGGATTTCTCTCCACTGGATTCACAGCCGACACCCAAGCATGGATAAATGTTTTATTTATTAAGGATGATGACGACGATCAACGGCACAAAACATGCCTAAACAGCGCATGCGAGAGAGAGAGAGAGACTGCCTGAATGACTGAGCGCGTCCTCCATCAGGTTAAGTCATATTCATGAAAAAAATTAGTTTGCGATGTCCTAAGAGTAATGTTGTCGTAATATCCTAATATCTTTTAAATGTTTAGGGGTAACGTACTCCCTCATGACTGGTGTCTGTGCTATAAAGTGAAGCATCAGCTTTAGCTTTTCCCTCTGTCCTTTATCCCAGCTTTTACCTCTCACGTCACTAGCTCCGCCCTTGCGCCATAGCTCGTGACCGGAAGAGAAGATGAGTCGTTTTGAGGGGGAGCGGAGGTTAACGTTTTTGATTAAAGATTATGAGGGCACATGAATTAAAAAAAAATAAGTGCACGGATAAATTATTTATAATAAACACTACAGTGTTCCATTAAAAAATAAGAATTTTCGATTTTGATTTCATGGTGACTTTAAGGTCGAGTCATTTATCTATAAAGCACCTTTAACATCAACAGAAGTTGTTAGTCATAAGAAATGATGACAGAAATTATAATAATTAGAGTCAATGTCAATGAACAGTGATGAACTAACAAGGAAGAATTTAACTTTAAAAAAAAAAACTCATTACAACCTTAGATAATGATCAAATCCAAGGAATGAAATTGGGTCTTAATGTTGGATGTAACAAGTGGCAATGGTATTGCAAAAAAGAGTGGAAAAAGTAGATCAGTATTGTGCTGCCTTGCTAGAACTTTAACTAGTCCTATTGACCCTTTCATTGGATTTATTTTATTACAGATTTTGCATTTTCATTTTTCTTCCTTTTTTTCTGTCTACTAAGATTTAGAGCAAACCGGAAGATTAAAACCTAAATTTTATTCATATCCATATGTTGTTGCATGTTAGAGTAATGGTACACAAAGGTTCTGTGGATTTCGCTCGCCATGCTTTGATCTTATTAATGCACAGGAAGGTGTCTATCTAGCAAGTGAATTGATTCAGTGCACTAATGACACTTGTCCTAAATTTGCCTTTGCAGGACAATTACATCTTCCTCACATCTCTAACCCTTGATTCATTGCAATCAGAGTTCTTCAAGATCATTCTTCAAGATCATTATCCTTATTTTGTAAATCATTCCCATTCCCTAGATTAACCTGTGTTTTTTTTTTCTTGCTGCAGAAAACCAGATTCCTCATGGCTTCCCCACCATAGACATGGGCCCTCAGCTGAAAGTGGTGGAACGAACAAGAACAACTACGATGCTCTGTGCCGCCAGTGGGAACCCTGACCCAGAGATCACTTGGTTCAAGGACTTCCTGCCTGTAGACATCAACGGCAATGGGCGAATCAAACAGCTTCGTTCAGGTAAGGATGGCACACTTCCTTAGCCTTACAATCACAGTAGCAGCAACTAATGTACTAAACTTAAATAGTCACAAATATAGACAGTTCTGTTTTCACTTATGGCTTATTTTTCCACAAATGTTTTACTACAGTTTAATGAATGTCTATGCAATATTCCCACATAATAAAAACTGAAACTGGAATTATATTTGTGTAATGTCAGGTCTGCCAATTTGTCTTTGTTTACTATGGAAGGAAAAATGTATTGACATGGCCATAACTTCAAATGAGTCTTAAGCCATGTGCAAATGGTCTGGGTAATTGTAGGCACCCTTACGGGAATGTGAGAATGCCGCGGAAAGGATCAACCTATCTATTTACATTGTAGACCTTCCTAATAGATAGACCGCTCAGGTCTGACCTAGGATCAGATGGATGAACAGGACTTTGCCCAGGCTGAATTAATGGCTCCTGACTGACTCAGAGTTTATCCCTCTCCACTAAATCCACTTCATTTAGAGGGCAAGTCCACAGCGGAGCTTATTCTCTAGTTTCTAGCATCAGCGTCTAAGTACACAGCTTACAAATACAGAGTTGAAAGTTTGGACTGCCTTCCTGAATCTCTTCGTCTTGCTTATTTCGAGGAGCTTCTTAAATTTACATAAAGTCAAATGAACAAAATGTACTGATCCACCAAAGATCAAAACATTGCTTCCTCAAAGATTTTATCTCTGGACGGCATGAGGTGCAAAGCTTTATGGCCTTTTTAGGACACTCATGATATAAAATTATGACAATACAGCTAGTCTTATCTGGCTTATCTGCCTGTTTTAGTCTTTAGGAGAATGGTGAATTACGTTTGCTGTTTTACTTCTTATAGATAAGCATTTTCTGATAGACAATGGTAATGGCGACATAACCTTACTTTGTGATTTGACCGATAGTTTAAGTCAACATGAAATGGGCTCTGTTTACTTTCTTAGGTGCATAATTTTTAGCTTTTCATCTGACTTCACATAGTCTGCACTAGCAGTTGATTAGCCAGTGCGTCTAAAAGTGATGCAGTGACTTTACCTGTTGATGACTGGCTCTTTTATTTAAAAGGCTGGCCTTTCATTACTAGAGCCGCTATATTGCGAGTGCACTTTCTCCCATTCATAGCATTACGAATTCATAGCATGACAGTGTTTGCCAATAGCCAAAATGCTATTTACATATTGTTTTAGGCTGCTATTGTAGTTAGCAAGAAATTAGCTTTTCTAGACGCTAATGCTAATGGTTAACGCAAGTAATGAAATATCATTCTAATACGGCCTGCTCAACATTTTTTTTTTTTTTTCCACTTTGAAATATGTCAAATTATGGAAGTAAAACAAGTCAAATGAATTTCATGTTGACTTTAATTCACATGTACATGTACAGAATTGCTGCTAGCTGTTTCTGCTATTCTCACACCAAAAGTGTCGCCTAACTTGCCATGGTCTGTACTTTTCTGAACCATGCTGTGAACAAAAATAACCTGAATACACATTGTTTCACTAAGCTCTGCAAATGTTCCTTAAAGCATTGAGTTTGGCAGGACTATCTCAGAATCGTAGCACAGAGAACGTTTGCCCTCGGATCTTTTTTCCGAGCTAATTCCATTGCACCAGACAGCCAACATTCAACTACGAGAGAAGTAGTCTAGCTCAACTTGATTCCTTTCTGTTTAATTAAGCCTACTTTCATTTGATTCCCTCCCTTTTGTTTTCCTTATCTCTCTTTGTCTATCTCTCTTGTCTGCTAACACTTCTTTTCAATCTTGTTTGCATTCAATTTACTTCACCTAGGGGGTTCGCCGATTCGAGGTAAGCCAGCTGAAATGTGTCTCACAAAACGTCTCCTCCATTACCCGTCTCATCACCACCGCTGTCATTTCCTGCTTGATCAGTATATACACAACCTTTGTCCCAGCATTCAACCTGTCTGTGTTCTGATGTCTATATCTGAGGGAAAGAGTACAGAAATACACTATTGTTCAAAAGTTTAGGGTCAGTAAGATTTTATTATTATTTTTTAAATAAATTATTCATTTTATTCAGCAAGGATTAATTAAATTGAACTTTCTCTTCTTCTTCAAAAAACCTAAAAAACATATATCATGAGAAGCATGAAACTTCTTTCTAAAACATCTTACCGACTCCAAACTTTTGAACAGTAGTGTATGTATTACTAAAAAAGATATGCATTATTTTGTAGCGTGTTCACTTAACAAGGAAATGTAGGAATAATTATTGACAATTCTGTGATCATTTACAAACCATTATGTTGTTCCAAACCTGTGGGACACGAAATGAGATATTTTGAAGAATGTCTTGGTTGCTGTTTTACAAGCAGTAAAAAATTACGTTCTGGATATTCTTCAAAATATCTTCTTTTGTGTCCCACAGAAGAACAAATCTGGAATTACACGAGGATGAGTAAATAATGACAGAATTTTCATTTCTAGAGTGAACTCTTTGATGAGGTGAATAAAATAATTGACTCTTGCTAGTTATTATGACATGCATTTGTTGTAGATATTTTCTTAGACCCGAGGCTTATTAAAATTTGCTGTGAGTTTGGGTTTCAGGCTGAAGGCCATCTTTAGAGTCTCCAGAGTGTGTCTTTTACATTCCATTTGGGCTGTGATGAAATTGAAATTTTTTTTTTGTTTTTTTTTGCATACTGCTTATGCTAAAATGAGTATGTATGGGAAATGAGGCCAGGCCCTGATTGTTAAGATGGAGCGTTCGATCAGTCACACAGAATGAAACATGGATTTCAGAAACACGATTGCTAGAGGCGAGTGCTTGACAAAACCGACATTACCCTACTTCAGTTGCACGGTTAGCAATCTCAGTGGTCCCCAATCTCAGACCCCGGAAGCTTTACTGTAAAACGAAGTCGAAAAAGCAAAAAAAAAAAAAAAAGAAGGCGAAAAGTATATTGCACGTAACAAAGGCTTGTTTGTTACTGCAGACTGTTGGAGCACGCCAGCTCACCTTAGGTTTATGAATCAGGAAGTACATCTGGCTTGCGGTGGGGTGCGGTGTCCCAAGTGGTTACTGATTTTTACTGGCTGAATTCTCAGTGTCCGTGGGTGTGATGTTAAATTCTCTCGTTCTCAACAGCAGGTCTTTGTTCAGTTCATCTCCCCTAACTCATATTGTTTTGTATCTCTTTATCAGTGAGGAATATGTATCATCTTCATACATTTTTTTTTGTCCTCATCAAAACACACAGTTTGTCCCACAGTGTGTGTGTGTGTGTGTGTGTGTTTTATTGAAAATTCATGAGGTGACATAATTCATCTCTGGTTGGAAGTGTTAAAGGGATAGATCAAAATACTGTCATCATTTAATCAACCTCATGTCGTTTTAAACGTGTATGACTTTCTTTTGTCTACAGAGCTCAAAATAAGATATTTTGAAGACAGTTTCAACTCTCCATTCAATGGAAGTAAGTCTGGTCCAAAACAATATTTATTGAATGGACAAAAACAAATCTCTTCTTTTGTGTTTTTCAGAAGAAAGAAAGTCATACAGGTTTGGAACTAAATGAGGGTTAGTCAATGATGACAGAATTTTCATTTTGGGGTGAACTATATCTTTAATTTATGATGTCATATCAAACACTTAAAAATACACTTATGATTAAAAAGGATTAAACATTTTTGTCTGTAACTGTCAAAAATGTTAAACCCTTGCTTTAAAAGAAGTAAATAATGAACAATTAATTCAAATTTAAATTCAATTAAAAATGTGAATAAACGTGGTGATTTTCACATTCTTCATTTAGTTTAGATGGAATTTTGTATTATTTTTCTTTATTGTAGTACGTTTACTTTCTTATATGGTACTATCAGTCAGATGTTGTCAGGACTGAGGGGTGTTGGCAATCAGTGCTGAGCAATCTCCGAACTGATTAGTAATTTGCTGCTTGTCAGGGTAAGAAACACCACCAATCAGTTTTCCTTGAACTTGGAGAGTGGGCAAGGTTAGTGGTGCATGTTATTTTTTCCCTGCAGCACTGGGATGCTGGGAAGTAGTCAGGGGTAAAGTGAAGGTGATAACCTATACTATGGTGGTACACCACTGCCAGAGATAAATATGTCTGTTTGCTAGATTAAGAGCATGGCACAGTGTTTTTAAAGCAAATGCCGTATCTGTGGTTAGGACACCCTGATTGATTATTCGTTTGATGTTCATGACTGTTTCAAAGTGGGTAGGTCTAAAGTATCTGCAGCATTTAATGCTGTTTCACATTATAGTGATTTGACTCCTTTTGTATACTGAAGTGATATCTTCAATTAATAAATACATAACCGGTTAAAAATGTGGACTAATTCAATTTTTTTATGTTTTTGAAAGATGTCTTATATGCTCTCCAAGGCTGCATTTATTTGATTAAAAATACAATAAAAACAGTAATATTGTGAAATATTACTACAATTTAAAATAACTATTTCTGTTTTAATATATTTTAAAATGTGGGGTCTTTAGTGTCACATGATCATTTAGAAATGATTTTAATATGCTTTGTACATATATTTTGTGTTAATTATTATCAGTTATTATTGATGCTCAATTATTAATAATGGTTCTTATTATCATCAATGTTGAAAACAGTTATTTTGTGATATATTTTTTTTTCAGGATTCTTTCAATTAAAAGTTCATTGTAAATATCTTTACTGTCAATTTTGATCAATTTAATGTGTTCTTACAGAATCATATTATTATTATTATTATTATTATTGTTATTATTATTATTTTAAATCATTCTTACCCCAAACTTGAATGGTAGTGAATCACAAAACACTGAAATGGTTCTAAATAAGATATTTTGAAGAATGTCTTGGTTGCTGTTTTACAAAATTGTTAAATGGTTCTAGGTTTACACTATTGATAAATATTTCTTGAGCAGCAAATCAGCATATTAGAATGATTTCTGAAGGGTCATGTGACATTGAAGACTGAAGTAATGGCTGCTTAGCAATCACAAGAATAAATTTCATTTTAAAATATTTGAAAACGGTACTTAAATTCTAATATTTCACAATAGTACTGTTTATGTTAAAACTGTTACTGTTTATTACTGTATGTGTTAAAAGACTAATCGAACATTGTTCTCATGTGACCTTATGTAGCACAATCTCTAGCGACCAGACAGGCAGCGTAGTTTTGTACGGTATTGATGTTTTGTTCTTTTTGGTGGGTATAAATATGCCACAGCAGTAATAAAGTCATCGCTGTAGCGTAATTGGCTCTGACTCAATGACATTAATATCCCGAAAGCTTTTTCTAATGACAGTGAAAGGCAAATATGTTGAGTTATAGACTCACTCAACCTGCAAAATCAGCTTTATGCATATGTCTTAGGCAGCATTCTAAGCCAATAAACTATATACACAGAGGAACAGGTCTGACATTTAAACAGGGAGTGTTTACTGATTGTCTGCAGTGAAAGTTTGCTCTTTGGTGGGGAAAGTTGCAACAGGGGATTCATAAACGTGTTCATAAATCAAAGAGGTGACTTTTACTCTTGTTTTTTTTTTTTTTCTTCAGGAGCTCTGCAGATTGAAAACAGCCAGGAATCAGACCAGGGCAAGTACGAATGTGTGGCTACGAACAGCGCCGGGACGCGCTACTCGGCCCCCGCCAATCTCTACGTGCGAGGTAAGCGACGTGCTCCAGGTGCTGCCCCTATCAAAACCGCTTCCTCAACAATGCTTCACACCTTTATTTTGACCATGTTGCAGTTTTGTTTTGACTTCCACGCCTGTTGAACTTTGTCTGACATTTCGGAGCCAAGATAAACAAAAGTTGTTGTCCAAATCATGCTGGAAACAAAACATTCCCTGCTTTGTTTTGAATTCATAGCAACGGAAGCAAAGGTAAACATGCATATTTCTCGCAGTATTTGTTGTGAGAGTGAGAAGACAAAAAGGGTTAACCAAAGGTGAGTGCCACAGAGGACACCTGCAGTATTAATACATGGATTTAGAGGTATAATGGTGTTGAGGCATTGTCTGTGAAACAGAACTCTGGGAGTGCTGTTGTTATGAGTGTCAACCCCTTCAGCTCATGCAGGTAATAACAGGGAGCTTATGGCAGGCTGCCAGTATATGGCCTCCAGCTAGTGACGTTAAGGTGCCACCCAGTAATTGTCACGCAAGAGGTGAAGACTAAGCCTTCTCATGCTTCCTGCCAAACAAACGGCCAAAAATGTTTCATACAATAGGATTAAACTGCAGACGCCATCGTACAACTCAATCACAAGATGTTGCTATGAGTGGCATCTAAACACATTGCAAGTTAATAAAGGGGTTAAATTGTATTTTGCATAAAAATGAAGCTTGTTTTTAGGAGCATTATGCTTTGCATCTTGACATTATTTTATGAAAATTAAACACATTTTTCCCTAAGTTTCCCCTAATGCATCCTGATGTTTTTTTTTTTTATGTCATTATTCTCATTGATTCGATTCGCAGTTTGGTGGGGAAAGTTGCGACGGGGGATTCATAATCGTGTTCTTAAATCAAAGAGGTGACTTTTACCCTTGTTTTTTTCCTCTCTCTCTCTTCAGGAGCTCTGCAGATTGAAAACAGCCAGGAATCAGACCAGGGCAAGTACGAATGTGTGGCTACGAACAGCGCCGGGACGCGCTACTCGGCCCCCGCCAATCTCTACGTGCGAGGTAAGAGCCGTGCTCCAGGTGCCGCCCCTAGCAAAACAACTTCCTCAACAATGCTTCACACCTTTATTTTGACCATGTTGCAATTTTGTTTTGACTTCCACACGTGTTGAACTTTGTCTGACATTTCGGAGCCAAGATAAACAAAAGTTGTTGTCCAAATCATGCTGGAAACAAAACATTCCCTGCTTTGTTTTGAATTCATAGCAACGGAAGCAAAGGTAAACATGCATATTTCTCGCAGTATTTGTTGTGAGAGTGAGAAGACAAAAAGGGTTAACCAAAGGTGAGTGCCACAGAGGACACCTGCAGTATTAATACATGGATTTAGAGGTATAATGGTGTTGAGGCATTGTCTGTGAAACAGAACTCTGGGAGTGCTGTTGTTATGAGTGTCAACCCCTTCAGCTCATGCAGGTAATAACAGGGAGCTTATGGCAGGCTGCCAGTATATGGCCTCCAGCTAGTGACGTTAAGGTGCCACCCAGTAATTGTCACGCAAGAGGTGAAGACTAAGCCTTCTCATGCTTCCTGCCAAACAAACGGCCAAAAATGTTTCATACAATAGGATTAAACTGCAGACGCCATCGTACAACTCAATCACAAGATGTTGCTATGAGTGGCATCTAAACACATTGCAAGTTAATAAAGGGGTTAAATTGTATTTTGCATAAAAATGAAGCTTGTTTTTAGGAGCATTATGCTTTGCATCTTGACATTATTTTATGAAAATTAAACACATTTTTCCCTAAGTTTCCCCTAATGCATCCTGATGTTTTTTTTTTTTATGTCATTATTCTCATTGATTCGATTCTCATGTCATGTAGTCATTTTTACTTTATTTAAATCTTAAAGTAAAATCTTAAATCAAAAGCCATAAAAATACCATGTGATTTATAAATATTTTGCAAATTATTATTTGGTATTTGATATTTAAATTATTTATTAAATATTACCGTATTTATAAATATTTTGTTGTTTAGATTACATATTGTTTTTTTATTATTATTTATTAAATTCTGCCTGATTCATAATACTTTGTAGTTTAAATGATAAGTGTTTTCTTGCCGTTTTTGTTTTGCCCATTATTTATAGTACATTACAGTTTGATTTGTGCCTAATTGTCATGGACTTTATGTCACAATTCAAATCCTAATATTCTTAAAAATAAGCTTTTCTTTTTACAAAATATTATTTTCTTGCTATTCTCTTTTCATTTTCTGGTAAAATATGATCTGCACATGTTCTTAACAGGCTTGTTGTCTATGGAATTCAATTAATATTTAAATTATTATTATTATTATTATATATTTTTTTAATCAGTCTGTATGACCCTACTTTTCACTACAAAAAAAGCGAAAGTGTGCAGCCAAAATAACAATAATAAAAACAGGAATTTTTGGAGCTAGATCAACAGCTAACTTCCTCAGAGTTGACAGGTGCATAATGGGTCGCCTTTATCCATCTGTCCATCGCAGCCTGGGTGTGGCCGCTTGTTTTTCAAAGTGTCTCTGTAAAACGGCTAATCATGCTTTCTCTTCAAGGGTGTTCAGCACAGTGTCCTGGTACCATTCCTCAGCCTCCCGTCCCCGCTCATTTATCTGCTCACACTAGATGAGTTGGGTGTCTAAGACTGCCGGCCTGTCAGTGGATCTATGTATTCAATAGCTGCTTCCTTTTTCCTTGGCCTCATCACTTTTCTGGGAGCTGTCTAAATGCTCTATGACTGTCTCTGTCTCTCGTTCTCCCGCTTTGTCCGTCTGTCTGACAGAGGACTATATCACCTGGGAGAATCACAGTCATGTATACCGGCTGTATATGTGAATGCTCATTTGTCAGCCGCTTATTCCATAGTGAAAAGTTGTCAAACACTGTCTGCTCTCCTTCCTCTGCTCCTGAAACTGACAACAAATCAAATAGAGTGGGCACACACTTCATACCCACCTGTCTGTTTATTATATCTTGTGTGAATGTGTGTGTGGGGGTCCGTTTACCTTTGTTTAATATTTAAGGAAGATGATTTTTAATATCTCTAATGCCTGTCACTCAGCTAGTTTTGTATTGTAGCGTTACATTGGCAGTCCTAACAAGCCTTACCTGACATCATTATCTTTCATGTGTCAATGTGTGGAAGAATTTGGCCCAGGGCTCTTTTAGAGGACCTCAGTGGTCTCTCTGCCTCACTGGAGATATGGTTATGTATGCTCACATGCATACAGAGACAGCTATCAGAAAATGTTCAATCATTCTGAGTTGTGTGTATAGCAGTAATGTTACTCCTCCAACATATGTTAGGAAAATTCTAATAATATGTCAGTTGTGCTGTGCTTTTCCGATTGTTGGACTTTTTTTGTGGATGTCTGTTAAAACAAAAAATAAAAGTTAATTTTGACTATTACTTAATAGCTCACATCTGAGACTGTATTTCTGACTATTGCAACTTTATTTCTCGTAAATTGACTTTAAGTCTCACAAAATGGACTTTATGTCTCAGTGACTTTATTTATCATTATGTGGCTTAATTTCTTATTTTAAGAATTAATTTTTTTACAATTAATGCTTTTATTTTTTTACTGTAAGGTATAAACGGGCTCCCATACAGTATTTGTGCCACAAAAGTCTGGTGTTAATAAGAGTCTCTGAAAAAAATAATGAGAGGGACAACCATTTTCTGTAACCTAACTGACTTCCTTAAATTAATATCTGTCATTAACCTGTATTAATGTGATTGTGTTTCCTATAAAATATTTTCTTTCACATTTATCTTATGATAGGCTTGTATTTACCTTTATCATTGTAAACCTACAATATCTATGAGATATATGGTACAGTATATACAAATCTTTTTCAAATGGAGTGTCGTGATATGAGTGTCTCTCGGTCTTTGTTAGCGTTTCCATTGCATTTTTCGAACCGCCGTGAAATTATTCACAAATGTGTTTTCATGTTCTTTTGTCTCCCATTTGTCTCTGTCTTTCAACTTCATCTCCATATCACTTGGTCCAACTTGCACCTCATGTCTTAGACCCTCGTGGAGGTTGGTTCTTTTCACTCTTAACTGCTTCTTGCAGAGCTCAAACTGGATCCCTCTTTAATCAGAGACCCTTGTTATCAATCACTCCCTCTGCTATGTCGCCCCTCACTTATGTGTTCAGGCTTAATGTGTCGTTCAGGTGGTTTGCATGAGTTTGATAGTCCATGACGTAGGGGCTGTTTTCATAGATTACACCTGGTGCTGGATTAAAACGGATAGCAATGTTATTTAATCCAAACTAGTTTTAATCTGTGTAAAACATCAAAACAACATATAAATAATCATTTATAATAATAGTTTTATTATTTTAATTATTTCATTTAATTATTTCATTTCATTTAATTTAAAACCTCTTTTTTGTCATGTTTATCTAACAGTTTTTTTGTTTAATCTCACAATGCATGTATGCTAGCAACTCCTATAACCTAACTGACTCCCTTACATTAATACCATTAACCTGTATCAATGTGAGTGTGTTCTCTACAGACATTGAATAATAAATTGCATACATTTATTTTATGTTTATCTTATAATAGGCATGTATTTACCTTTAACATAGTAAACCTACAGTATATATCAGGGGTGTCAAACTCAATTCCTGGAGGGCCGGAGTCCTGCAGAGTTTTATTCCAAACCTGCTCCAACACACATACCATGTAGTTTTCAAATAAGCCTGAAGGACTTGATAAGTTGGATCAGGTGTGTTTAATTAGGGTTGAATCTGAGCTCTGCAGGTCTCCGGCCCTCCAGGAATTGAGTTTGACACCCCTGGTATATGATATATTGTAGAATATACACAAATCTTTTTTTAAACAGAGTGTTGTGATTTGATTGTGTCTCTGTCTTTGTTATAGACTCCATTGCATTTTCTAACTGCTATGAAATTATTCATAAATGTCTTTCATGTTCTCTTGTCTCCCATTTGTCTGTCTTTCAATTTCATCTCCATCATATAACCTGCTCGAACTCTCACCTCATATAGCAATCCCTCGAGGAGGTTGGTTCTTTTCACTCTTAGCCACGTCTTGCAGACCTCAAACTGGATCCCTCTTTAAGAGAGACCCTTGTTATCAATCTTACTCCCTCTACTATAGCAATGTTAGAAATGTTATTTAGTCCAAACTAGTTGTAATCTGTTTAAAACATCTCGCTTAAATTTGACAAACAATGATTTATAATAATATTTGTTAATGATAATATCTGTTTAATTTAATTTAATTTAATTTAATTTAAAGTGTCACATTATCCTACAGAAATCATTCTAATATGCTGATTTGGTGCTCAAGAAACATTTCTTATTATTGTCAGTGTTACAAATTCAGGTTATGCTGCTTAATTTTTTTGGATTCTTTGATGAACAAAAAGTGTGAAGGACAGCATTTATTTGAAATGGAAATCTTTTGTAACATTATAAATGTATTTTCTGTCACAATGAACATGCAGTGATACAAATCTAACTTTTTCAAATGGAGTGTCATGATTAGATTGTGTCTCTCTGTCTTTATTAGACATTCCATTGCATTTTTCTAACTGCCATAAAACTATTTACAAATCAGTTTTCATGTTCTCTTGTCTCCCATTTGTCTCTCTCTTTCAATTTCATCTCCATATCACTTGGTCAAACTCACACCTCATGTCTTAGACCCTCGAGAAGGTTGGTCCTTTTCACTCTTAACTGCTTCTTGCAGACCTCAAACTGGATCCCTCTTTAATCAGAGACCCTTGTTATCAATCACTCCCTCTGCTATGTCACCCCTCACCTATGTGTTCAGGCTTAATGTGTCGTGTCAGGTGACTTGCATGAGCTTGATAGTCCGTGAAGTGGGAGCTGCTCTAAAACTAAAAGAAATAGCAATGTGATTTGGTCCAAACAAGTTTTAATTTGTTTAAATAATTTAATTTAATTTAATTTAATACCTCTTTTTTGTCAGGTTCAAGTGTCCGTTTTATTCCACAATGCATGTATGGTTTTGCTCATGAATAGAAACTCTTTCAACCAACCTGCTCCCTGTTACCTGAAGTTTTATAATAGAAATATCACCATTTTACTTCTGTTGTATTACTACCCACACTGACTTTCCATTCTTTTACTACAAATCATCGCCACCGTATGCCCATGTCCATAGTCACGGTTTGTCAGTGTCACAGAGTTCCCTGGAAATCAATAAAGTGAATATTTGTATTTCTTAGACATGCTATTGCTACTGTAATTTCTTTGCAACAGCGGACTTGAAGTACTTTGAATTTCACATTGCCTAATTCAAAGAAAAAATGCTCAAGACTCTATCGTTTTGCCTTTACAGTGCAAACATAATGAGGAGAATAACAAGCTTGGTCGCGGTGTGTATCTGAAAATAAAATGAGAGCGCATAGTCGAGAATCCAATTTCAGGAGGACCTGTGCAAAAACCAATTATTGCCTATGCCATTTCTCCATAGACAGACATGAGGCAGTGGGTCATTAACACAAATTGGAAGAGTCTGTTTAATGTGCTGCTGTTTTATACTCCTATTTTGGGAGAACAGGAGCGAAAAGTCTCTCCAGCTTGTGCTTCTTGTAAATAGTTCAGCATTAGCATCCTCAGTGATGGCCACCAGCTACGATTCTGAGCACTGCACAATAGAGACTGAAACACATCTAGTATTTGCATTGATAACAGAGTACCGTTTAAAAACGTTGATGTTTCTCTTGTGCTGATCCTTGTGAATTAGTTCCTCGTACACCATGAGCTTGGCCTCGTGCAGTCGAGTCAGTTAATGTCAAGGCAAGTTTGAATTCCATTCAGACTCCACATTGATAGTTCGCCTCTCTCCTCCCCATCTCTGCACAGTGTCAGCAGGCTCCTTTTGGTCTCCATGGGAACCTCTTTTAATGTCAGGTTTATCTGCATATCAGAGGCTCACAAAGAGAAGGGCCCAGTGAACAATGCATCTCCCACAAGGTCTCGGACAGGTTCCCGAATCCAGGCAGGACTGAGCAACAACAGACCAGGGTCTCAGTGCCACCGGGCGATAAACTTACAGAGAAAACTTGCATCCTGCAATGCCTCAGCGAGGATGTTTTTTTTCTTCTTCTCAAATCCACAATTCAATAAAGCTCCCCTTTGGCATGAATTTTAATGTCTCACTCTATAAGAAATACCATTACGATGCCTTCTTCACCCTTCCCCCAGCACATATTGGTTTATCGCCCTCTTCTGCACATATGTATGAGCCACAGTTTTGACTTCCTTCCTCCAGTTGTTAAGCTTCAGGCTTTAACAAATGGAAAAAGTGACAGCTCTGCCCTTGAAACAAATTTGTTTGACCTGTCAGCACAACTTCATGTTAGTTTGTTCATGTTAGTGACATAGCCCTAGTAATCAAACTAGAGATGTAGTAATCACAATAGATTTCCCTGTATATGGTCTTTTCCAAACTGTTTTTGTATCAAAAGTTGACATAAGAGAACAAAATACTACCTGTTGAAACTCACCCTGGATGTTCTTCTCTCTGGTAGTACGGCGAGTGCCGCCCCGTTTCTCTATCCCACCTACCAATCACGAGGTGATGCCAGGGGGCAGTGTCAACCTCACCTGTGTGGCGGTAGGTGCCCCCATGCCCTATGTCAAATGGATGGCTGGTGAGGTGGAGCTCACCAAGGACGAGGAGATGCCCGTGGGACGCAATGTCCTGGAGCTCACCAACATCCATCAGTCGACCAACTACACCTGTGTGGCTATTTCATCTCTCGGTATGATCGAGGCAACCGCACAAGTTTCTGTCAAAGGTAAGATCCCTGAAAGAGTGATCTCTCCACTAAAAAATTATTTTGCCTAAAATAATAATTTACATTAAAGGCCCAGGTATACTTGGTGCATTGAGCACGCAAACCATTAAAAGTATACTCAATTGATGTGACTGATGCGTTCAGCATGTGTACTTCCTGCAGTAGTAGATCTTTGTTTTTGATCTTTAGTTGAACTTTGTTTTGAGCCGGAGCAGAATGTGTACAAGGGAAGTGTACTTTAGGTTTTAGATCAGGTATGTGTATTAAGAACATAAATTGGTTCATTTCTGTAGATTTTCTGTAGGTTTAAAGATTCTGTAGACACTTATTTTACCCAAGACTCTGAACAGGTTGTCAGAGACTAGAAAAAGTTCTGTTCTAACTGCAACCCTAAGGGTCTCACCAGCTGTTTGGTACGTCTGGCAAATACACACAATGAAAAAACATGGACACTCGCTCTGTGTTGACAGCTTTAGGGACTTCCCACGTTTTACTGTGGGATCTGAGAAAATGAAAGGCTTTAGATTATTCTGAGCATGTGTTTACCCAGACCAGATGTCTGGAGCTGTATCAGTGCAGCTGGTCCCACCAGACAACACCGAGTCCTGCCAGACTTCGTTCCTCGTCACCATGGCTGCCTCTATTGATTGCACTTTGCACTTCACCAATCAATATGGACTCGGAGAATGTCACCGACATTTGTCTGGAGTCCAGCCACAAATCTTAAAGACACAATGACGAGGCGGCACGGGCTGCCTTTCTGTGAATCACCAATTCTAACACAAGCCTTTCTTCTTTCTCATTCTGTCTTACATTGCCTGTCTTTCTCTATTTTAGGAGTGCGCCGAGTAGGCAGCTTAGCCTACATACGCTGTCATCGGTTTAATTTCCTTTCTTATCTTTTGCTCCTCAGCTCTCCCAAAGCCTCCTACGTCTCTAATTGTGACGGAAACCACAGCTACCAGTGTTACACTGACATGGGATTCTGGAAACCCTGAACCTGTGTCTTACTACATTATCCAGTACCGGGCCAAGACCTCGGACTCCAACTTCCAGGAAGTGGATGGTGTTGCCACCACACGTTATAGCATCGGTGGTCTCAGCCCTTATTCTGAGTATGAGTTCCGCGTCATGGCGGTCAACAACATTGGCCGTGGTCCACCCAGCGACCCAGTTGAGACACGGACGGGTGAGCAAGCACCTTCCTCCCCACCACTGCATGTCCAGGCACGTATGCTGAGTGCCAGCACCATGTTGGTGCAGTGGGAACCGCCGGAGGAACCTAATGGTCAGATTAGAGGCTATCGCATCTACTACACATCTGACCTGGACACGCCTCTCAGTGCCTGGCAGAAACACAACACGGACGACAGCCGTCTCACCACAATCTCGAACCTGACCCCCGACATCACCTACAGCCTGCGTGTGTTGGGCTTTACATCTGTAGGGGACGGACCCCCATGTGATGTGTTGCAGGTCAAGACGCAACAAGGAGGTAATTTTTAGCGTTAATGAATAAATACATTGATGCTTTTACATAGGGCTGGGTAAAAAATATATTTTTTGCTGATCAGTCATGATGTCGCATGCAATAATATGTTGCATGATCAATGTAGTCTGATTCATTAACAAGGGACTCGTATGAACTGGTTCTTTTTAGTGAATCAAAAACATACAGTATAGTGTGACCATTATAGTCTGACTCATGAACAAATAACTCTCAATAATAGGTTATTTTTTGTGAATTCAGTCAAACTACGCAACCACTTCTGGTTATGAAATATATTAACATATTATAGGATAGATGGATTGGGCCCTGTAGTTATATATTTTTTTCTCCATATTTTTGTAATATACCAATTTTTTTTCAAAGTTTCTTCATATAATTTACAGCAAAAGCTTGGAGATAATTTTTTTAGAAGCAAAATTGACATTAAAATGTACCGTGATGCATCAGAATCATAATGAAATTGATTTGAATTGGAATCTAATTGAATCAGGAAATGTGTATCAATACCCAACCCTAATTTTGCATAGTGCATTTTCATTTCAGTACCATAAAAATACTTGTGCATCTGTTGTCGCTAACATCTCTTTATCTATTGAATTTCAAGTACCTGCTCAGCCTTCCAACTTTGAGGCTGAAGCAGAGCTGGATACGCGGATCCAGCTAACTTGGCTGTGGCCAGTACAGGACCCCATCATCAAATATGAGCTGCTATATTGGGAGGCTGACTCAGAGAACAAGGTATCACGCCAGTGCTTGTTTCTGCCTGATTCATTCAGAATTACAAGCAGACCAGATATTGAACGTGTGCAGCTGTTGCTGTGGGCCATGGATACAAATGAAAGATAGCCAAAATTGACATTTCACAAAATGACTGCAGGCAAAAGTCTGCAGTCAGTTGATAGAATTAGATTGTACAAAAACAGAACGTACTTATCAATGCTCAGTGCTTGACAGCATTTCTACCTGATGCCAGAATGGGCTGTTTGGATGTGTTTTCTTGATGTCAGTTCATCCACATTGAGATCAGATGTCTTATGCACACTCATCGTGATAGCCACCAGTGTGTCTGTATGCTTATAAAGTACTTCTCAGTTTTTTTGTGAAAAACTTCTGTGCCCACCCCATTCATCTTAAAATGAATAATGAGAAAAATGTATGTAGATTTATTCATTTAGCTGATACGTACTGAGAAAAAAATAGCAGCCTACAATATCAGCTGTTAAAAGTTTGCTGATAAATAATACTGAAATAATAATAGCCTACTGAAAACTGCATGTTCTGTCAGTTGTCACATTTCTGTTGAATAATGTAAATTCATACTTTGTGAAAACATACTGAAATGTAAGCCATTATTTACTCAAAATCTCTCTTCCCACGATCTGATGCGCACACATAAGTGCAGTGCAGTAGGCATGTTTAACAACATATAAGGAGAACAGAGCGGAGTTTATTGTGATTGCGGTAGATTTTAATTTTTAAAGTGATACTTAGACTTGACAACTACATTTTCCACTGCCCACTTAAAATACAGCCCCATGACCACTGTGTTAAAGTCTTGATGAAACAGAAGTAGCGACAGATCTTTTCTTCTGTATTGTGAAATGGATTGTTGAAGAAAAATGTTGAACAGGACTGGGTTTTATCCAATGATTGTTGATTGGATAGAGACCGATCTGAATGCAAGCTTGCAGTCGATTGTAAGAAAGGGTCGGCTGTAAGCTGGCTAAATGATTGGAGCACGTGTCTGATGAAGTCTGTCGTTTCACCAGAAGATTGAGTTATGTTCATTAAAAATGACAAGGTCAAAAAAAAAAAGCATATGCATGGATGAATTGTTCACAATAAGGTCAATAACATGCCATTATAAAACAGACAGTGAATTTTCATTTAATTCTGACTTTAAAATAAACATACGGAAGTTTCTTGTGATCACGACTTAATTTTCTCGACATAACAAAAGTTGTTTTCTCATTATCACAACTTAATTTTCTCATGATTTCGACATAACAAAAATGGTTCTTTTAACAATGATTGTTTGATTTTTAAACCTTGACGGGGACATTCTTAACCTGGCTTAATGCGTTAATTGAGAGTGTTTTTTTGCAATGCGTTTAATTCCGCGTTAATCGTTTTCCTCCCATAGAATACCTACTGTACGGACAACACTTAACGTGGCTTAATGTGTTAAGGCAGTGTTTTTAAAAGACCAAACTCAGTAAACACATCATTAATAAAGCATTCTCTGTACCGACAAGCAAATGAGCCCATAATAAGAACGTGATGCGTTTAACGCATTAAGCGTTTCCAAAACTGTTATAAGACGTTATGTTCGCATCCTGGACTCCTCTTCTTGTCTGTACATAGCCTATTATAATTTACTAATAATGTGTTTAATGAGTTTGGTCTTTTAAAAACACTCTCTAAACGCATTAAGCAACATTAAGCATTTTACAATGCCCCTTTTGAAGTGCAAATGATCAACAGATAATAGGCCTACTGTATCTTGTATTTCAGCAAATGTTGCTTCACTTAGAAATAACGTGATTTTACACTACACATTGTATTTGTGTATTTGTGTAATTAACATTAAATGGTCTAACAACAAATTGCATTCACCGCAAGTGCAGGCGGAGCGCCTTCAAAAGGAATGCAGAGAAGAAGCCTTCTATTCTAAAAATCTTCAGCTGCTTGGATTCAACTCACTTTATTTTCCTCGTTCGTTTGAAATAAGATTAAGCTATATATAATAATAAATTATAATAATTTGTTTGTGATTTTTATTAGTCATGTAGGATAGGCTGTGATGTGAGTTACAAGCTTGAGATGCTGTTATGTGTGTTCGGTTTACAAAGAAATGTAGAAAATATAAAAGATTAGGCCACAACACCATATAAAATCATTGAACTAAATTATACACATATGTAAATCACATTTCTTATTAATATACATTTATTAACGATAAAGATTAAAAATAAGAAAGATGCACATTACACGCCTGTTGTAAATGAGTAACTGTGATGAGTCGTGCAGCAGTAATAATGTAGGATAACAGATACAATTTCAAGCAAAATTATCATATTTATTCAAGCATTTAACATTTATAAGTTAATTAAATGTCAGCAATGAACTGCACAAATTATAGCGATCAGGAAAAAAATAATAATGCATGGCCGCTTAAAACATCCGTATAAACATGTCTACAAGGCCAAGTAAAGCGATGGAGAGATGGTTATGGAATTTTTTATGTTTCCTCTTCAGATCCATGTCACCTTTGACCCTGCCGGCTCATACGCTGTTGAAGGTCTGAAGCCGGACACTCTGTATAAATTCTCCTTGGCGGCCCGCTCTGAAATGGGGCTAGGGGTCTTTACTCAACCCATTGAAGCCAGGACTGCCCAGTCCAGTAAGTGTCCTCTTTTTTTCATCTTCATCATGTCAACTAACCTAGACTTGTCCCTATGGACAAACCAGAGGACCTCTTTTCCCTTCCTTTCTCAAGCTATTGTCTACAGTCTCCACCATTAATTATCTTACACCTCTAAGCCAGGGAATACCTTTATACATTGACAAGGGCAAAAGGTATGTTCGGTGTCTGCTTGTGCCTTTGTCTTCATTATTTTGGTTTATAGGCTATCAATGTGATTTGTTATTGCTGCAATGTTAAAAGCCAGAGAAGTGAAGCCTACTCAAGTTGAAGCACTACATTTGTGCTAAATGTAACGCTCTGCTTGCATATAACCTAACCTTTCTCACTTGCACCCACATATCAAAAGACAATGTTCAGAGAATATATAACAAAATTTACAGTCATGTCGCAGTATCAGAGTACTTCCTTTCCCCCTGAGTCTCTCACAGCCTCATGTTCTTCTAGAGACCTGTCTATCACCTCCTCTGGGACTCAAAAAGACCCTTTGATCTTTGAGTTTTGTGTCAGGACGCCTCGTGCTCAATCCCACCGTGGGCGCCAAGAGTGGTGCGACGTCACCAAACTGCTCTGGTTGTTAACAAAGGAATGCGAGCATGTTAAAATGTCCCAGCGTACATTCTTCTTCTTGTTCTTATTCCTCTCAGCCATCTCTCTTTTCTTCCTTAGTTAATTATTGTTATTTTTTTATTACACATTTATGTTTATCATATACAGCTGCATGAATGAATGCCATTTAGCTTTTTCATTGTAAAATGTTGTTGTGCTGTTGTCGTAATTTTTTTATGCTTCTGGACTGTGCTGTGTTGTGCAGAAACATTTAATTTGGTAGCTCACCTGATCTCCATCCCTCTCAGAATTAATTAAATATGCCTTGCTGGTGTTGCGCTTATCTCAGCCACTCAGAAGTGGCACCAAGCCTGCCAAAAGAAGCTAGCAGCACACGCTATCGTAGGCAGGATGGTCGAGTATGCTCTCAGATGCGTCAGCTGCCACACTCACTGACACTTGGATCTCTGACAAACGGGGGGCTGTTGTCTCCCAGCCAGTAGACTGACTGAGAATGTGTGAACGCCTGTTAAAACACAAGCCGATGGCCTTTCCCCTGCTTGTCAACACATAAACAGAGAAAGGCAGTAAACGACGGTGACTTACTGATCGCTGTGACCAGGGTGAGAAATTAACACACACCACCAGCCAAATGAGGATACTTTTAGGCAGTGGCAGGTCATTTTAGTCAGTCTTAGATTGTATGGTAACAACAACACACACATAGCTGTTAAAAACATTACCATTTAAAAGCTTGGGGTCGGTATGTTTTTTTGTTTTGTTTTGTTTTTGGAATAAGTCTCTTATGTTCACCAAGGCTGCGTCTATTTGATCAAAAATACAGTGAAAACAGTGAAATATTATTACAATTTAAAATACATTTTTAAATATATTAGATATTATATTAGAGATTATATATTTTCCGTAGTTATTTTCAGCAGCCATTACTCCAGTGTCACATGATCCTTCAGAATTCTAATATGCTGATTTCTATTGAGATTCAGTTCTCGGACAGATGTCCTGACATTTTCCTTCAGAATTTGCTGGTATAATTCAGAATTCATTGTTCCATCAATGATGGCAAGCCGTCCTGATGCAGCAAAACAGGCCCAAACCATGATACTACCACCACCAAGTTTCACAGATGGGATAAGGTTCTTATGCTGGAATGCCGTGTTTTCTTTCTCCAAACATAATGCTGCTCCTCACTTCTTCTGTAGATGAGGCTGGATCATGAATGATTCGCGCGAACATGGACGCGTTTATGTAGATCGGGGACGCATTCTCTTCAGAAACAGTCAATCAAACTATCATGGGAGGGGCCTGTCTGTGTGACGTCATAGGCAAGTAGCATCCTATGACCCCTTTAAACCAAGATGTTCTATTTTGGTCTCATCCATCCACAAAACATTTCTCCAGTATTCCTCTGGTTGTCCACACCCTGCAGTCCTTTGAAACCTAGTGGACTTTTACACGTCTTGCTTTTAGAGTGTTCTTTTTTGGTGGAGCACTCCCGGGGAGGGTAACCGTGTTCTTGAATTTCCTCCATTTGTACACAGTCTGTCTGACCGTGGATTGGTGGGGTCCAAACTCTTTAGAGATGGCTTTGAAACCTTTTCTAGCCTGATGAACAACATCGATTTTCTGAGGTCTTCAGAGATCTCTTTTGTTTGTGCCATGATACACTTCCACAAACATGACCAAACTTTGATAGATCCCTGTTCTTTAAATAAAACAGGGCACACACTGACACCTGACCAGTCATCTCACTGATTAAAAACACCTCTGAACAGATGGACTCAAATGTCACCTTCAAATTAACAGCTAATCCTAGAGATTCACATACTTTTGCTTCTCACAGATATGTAATATTGGATCATTTTCCTGAATAAATAAATGACAAAGTATATATTTTCATATCATTTGTTTGATTGGATTCTCTTTGTCAACTTTCAGGACTTGCATGAAAATCTGATTATAATAAAATCTGGTTATATTTATGCAGAAATATAGACAATTTTAAAGGGTTCACAAACTTTCAAGCAGCACTGTATATTTCTTTTTAGTAATTTCAAAAACATAACCCAACACATCAACTTTAGAGCTTATCCAAACCAATATTTAATAGACTATATTGTAAAATAAAACTGCAAAAAAACAGTGTCAGGATTTAATGTTTTGTGCATTTGTCCAGTTTCACATACATAGTTATTTTGAAAAATAATAATAATAATAATACTAATATATAAATAATAAAAAATTTGAGTGTCAAATTTGTACAATTCCAGCCACAGACGGTGGTGAACAGAATAGTTAGTATTACACCCTGGTTCTGTCTTAGTATCATTTGCAGATGGTTGTGCCGAGCAGTACTGAATTTTTTCAGTTTTTGAAATCACAGCAAAGTAAAAAAAAATAAAACATTATAACTTAAATGGCTTCAAAGTCATGAAATCAGTTTAGAATTCTAATTTGAAATTAGACAAAAATACAACACTAAGTAAGATGTTCTCTATTGTTGTGCCAACCAGTCCAGTCCAGAAGCAAGCTTGCTTTAAGTTGTTTAATTTTGCTTGATGCCCTCCCCGTTGCCTTGCCCCCACCTGCAGCCCCCTCAGCCCCCCCTCAAGACGTGCACCTGCTCAGTCTGAGCTCCACCAGCATCAAGGTGAGTTGGGTGGCGCCGCCCGCCGCTAGTCGCGACG